AGACGTCGGGGTGACAGCCCCGGCTTCCTCCTGCCGCCCACTGTGCAGACAGCTGGGGCTGCAGCTGGCTGGTGGAGAGCTGGCCCTCGGTCCTCGGGGCCGTGGGTCGTGGGTGCTTTCTGGCTCCTTGTCACGTCTTGGTTTGGGAATGGAGCGCTGCGTGCTCGTCGCCACGTAGACCTTGCAGAAGCGCTGCGGCTTCTTCCCAGATCGTGCAGAACCCGCCCAGCAGGGATGGGTGTCTCAGGGGCTGCCAGCCCGGGGGTGCCTGGGGCGCCCAGGGAGGCGTCGGTGTGCTGGGTGCTCCATGCAGGGGGTGGGTCGGGCCGGGACTTCAGCTTCCCGCTGCAGCAGTTACGAAAAGAGTGCACGGACTAGGGGTAGCTAGCTTTGCACTAGGAGCGGGCGAGCAGGTTCCTGCGCCAGTCCCTACCCCACACTCACTGTCTGTGGCCCCTGTCGTCCCACATCCTGCCACCTGGCCTCTCAGGAAAACAGTGATATTAAGTGAGGAAGGAGCTCGGCTCAGCTCAGCTCTTCATGAGTCTGCTCTGTTTTCAGCCCTCTTTTCCTCTCATCCTTCTTTGGGAGGCCACGCGGGACCAGTGTCCCGGCAGCCGATTGGGAGAATCTTTGGTGATGACCCAGCCCCCTGTCCCGCAGCCCTGAGGTCCCAGATTGCGGGGCAGTCAGTCAGTGGCCCATTCACTCTGTCCAAGCTGCTGCTTGTGCGTTTTGCAGTTCTTCGTACGGTTTTGGGAGGAGTTACTTCCCAACAGTTGGCTGAGGTATTGTTGATAAATAATTCATACATTTCCACATCGCAGACACAAATGTCAACCCCGAGTGGAAAAAATAAAACAAAGAGGAAAGACTGTAATGACTAAGTTCTCTAGAATTTTATTGATCCTAGTGACAAAAATTGGGAAATTACTTTAAGGCAGTGAGGTAACAAATGTTAAAAAAAAAGAAAAAGAAAAAAGAAAAAAGGACAGTACTGTATTTTTTTGCCCATCAAGACATTACAGTTATATGTTAGGAAAATGTATCCTTTAATCTCAAGTGTGGAGAAGTCCAAGAACTGCGAACTCTGGGTTTGTTTTGTTTTTAAGGAGGTGATTTTGGTCTTGCAGGACTGTACAGGGAGGAGATGTATGAATGAGATTGCACTGACCTGTTGAATCTTAACATTTGCTTGTCTTGCGTATGGCTTATAGCTTTCATCCTTTTAGATCTTTGCTGAAAGATGTTTAGGTCTGGAAAAGAAAAATAGAACAGCCAGGAAAGCAAAAAGAGGAAAGAGTAGTTTGTGTAGAATCTTCCTACTGCCTAGCTGCTGCTGTCTGAAAGCTGCAAGCCCTGTAGCTGCCACAGGTGAGGGGCAGATATGGAGGACCTGGCTGTGGGTAAAGACCCGCCCTTGCAGGCAGGACCTATAGCAGAAGACCAAGGTGGTTGTGTGATTTCAAGACGGGGAATAAGATCACCTCTGACTTTTAGCCCCAGTGTATCAAGCAGTGATTGGTTTTCAGTGGGCGGTCAGGCAATTCTTTGTCTGTTGAGTTCATGGCTGGCTGGCTGGCTGGCTGGACTCCTACTGTTGTGAAAAGGACTTCTGCTGCACCACAAAGGATAGGTGTGTGATGTTTTTGTCTCACCGTTGTGTCCATGGTTCTGCTACGCTTTTGCCTGATTCTGCCTAGCCGGAATAACTGCTATCCTCTGACCCAGAGCTTCTCCCAGCAATCTGATCAAGAATCTCAGTGCAGATCCTTCCATGACTTCAGGGTCCTTCAATTCCCAACCTCTGTTCTTCAAGTGGGCCACTAGAATTTAATTCATCTTATCAATGACTGAAGAGCAGCCAGCTAGACCCACCTGAGTGCCTTTCCTGAATTCTAGATTTCTTCTCCCGGTTATTTAACACCTGTCTTTCCTGAAGGGTTGTCCGGGCAGAGAGTGTAATGTAGGAGAGGGGATTAACCGTTGCTGGGAAATTTCCCAAGGGGGAAACTTCTGTGCTTCTGAAAATAAGGATGGGTAGTGAGGCAGATCGAACGGCATGGGAGCGAGCCAGGGATGCCGGCCTTTGGTCCCACTCCACTTCCACTTGTCCTGAGTGGACTCCTGGCTGAAGCTTCTTGCCTGTCTGCTTCCGGGGTTTGCATTTCCTCCACCTGTTGATTATGCTTGCCGATTTCTGGGTGAAGGATGGGGTGGAAGTGCACCTGAATGTTGGTACCTGCAGGGCAGTACTAACGTGTGGTTGAGAGATGAGTCAAAATAATTGAGCTCCAACGTCTGTTCTTGGAAGTGTAGAATCTAATTCTCATTCTCACGTCTGGAGTATAATCCAGTAACGAGGTTCGGAGAGAATGTTGCCCATTTACTCGTGGAGCTGCACAGTGTCTTGTTGGAGATAGGCTGGTTTGTTGGTTATTCAGTTTTACTGTAAATATGATAAGACGCTTCATGAATAAACTCTTTGCTTTGGGACTAAAGAGGAAACACCAAGCAGTAGCCTGACAGCAGCAAGTTGCAGGATCTCTCCCAAAATAGTCACTGCCCTAGCAGCCCGGAGAGGGAGTGTTTAGAAGAGGAATAAAAGCTTTGCCCCAGAGAGAGGATTGACTTGTCTGGGGAGGAGCTAGGCTTGTCGGGACTCTGTCATGCCCTTAGTTGGCATCCAGTGCCCCTGAAACCCAGTGACCATTCCGGGGTGGCTTCAGGAGGCAGCTTCAGGGGCAGCTTTAGTGATTTTTGTGGTCCAGGACCTGCCACTGACAGGCTTGACTCCCCGATAGACGTTGCTGCAAACTCAGGTTATTCCCCTCCTCCTCAGCCCCACTGTCCCCTTCCTCCTCTTGTGTAGACTAATCTTTAAAAGTGATGTAACTTAAAACAGTCCAGTGTGAGTTCATCTGTGGGGCCGGCTAATATCCTGGGAGCAGAGGTGACTAAGATCCTTTGCCTACAGAGTAGGGTAATGACAAGATCAAACGGTGGGGTTTCCTGTGGCAGGTATATAGGAACAGTATCAAAGGCAGGCTAACGGAATGGGTTCTTTCCCCCTGCTCTTCAGGCAACATAGACACTATGGCCGAGCAACTCCTTCCTCAGGCTTTGTATTTGAGCAATATGCGGAAAGCTGTGAAGATAAGAGAGAGAACTCCAGAAGACATTTTCAAGCCTACGAATGGGATCATCCATCATTTTAAAACCATGCACCGGTACACACTGGAAATGTTCAGAACGTGCCAGTTTTGTCCCCAGTTCCGAGAGATCATCCACAAAGCTCTCATCGACAGAAACACCCAGGCTTCCCTGGAAAGCCAGAAGAAGCTCAACTGGTGTCGTGAAGTCAGGAAGCTCGTGGCGCTGAAAACCAACGGTAAGACTTGCTGGACTGTCCGGGACATCCGGGACAGCTCCTGCAGTGCGGGCACCCCATTCTTGAAGCTTTGGTCGCGCTAACCGTAGCTGCCTTACCGTACAGGTTCCGTGAGGGGTGCATGACAGGAGCAAGCTTGATCAGTGAATGTTCTCTTGAAGAATATTTTCTAAGCGCGTGTATTCCCTTGCACAGGGCTTTGAGGCTTGGGGAATGTGCTTTTCTAAACACCATGCCCCAGTTAGGCGATTAATATCTCTAAGTCTTGCAGCTGTTTAATCATCTGTAGAAAGCCCTTCCCTGGCTAGTAATGGAAATATTTTAAAAGGTTTAAGTTCAAAAGGAAAGCATGGTGTTGAGAGCTGGTATCACTATTGTTTCGTGCTGTTACTAGAAACTGCTTGTGATGTCCTTGTAACGCTTGAGTTGTACATTTCGTGGGTTAAGGCTGTTGGGGAGCTGAAGTTGTTTTCTCTTTCCTTCCGTAGGTCCTATTGCCTATGGTCCTATACCACTATGCCACTAATAGCTATTTGCTGTTCCAAGCTTTACTGTTTCATATTTTAATCATTTCCTTTGAGCAAGAATCTGTATGTAGACTGAAACATCCAGGCATGTACTGTCTCATGCATTATGTGCAGTACAAAATTCTGCCTTGTTGGATGTGATATTAGAATAAGTAAGTAGATGGTACAAGATCAACTGAATGCATATAGCCTAGGTAAGAGCAGCAATCTTAGGTCTTTACATCGGTGACTAAACTATCCTGATCAAAATAATACCTCCAAGAGCAAAAAAATCCTTGTTGGCTGTGATGATGATAAGAACATTAACTTAATAACTTAATTGGTGCATTAGCTTTGGCTGTTTTAGACTTGAGTAACACAAAATGATTGGTGGGCGTGGAGCTTTTGTGCTTGTTTTTATTCTGGGAGCTCTTGTATAGCACCTTAACATCTTACCTGTATTTATGAAGCTTAGATTCTCAGAAACAAAAGTTCAAAGAAAACTGGAGATAGCTATTGTCTACATTGTTCCTGGCATTACATCAAGTGATGTGTAGAAGTAGATAATTATGTTAAATCGTCATCGAGGGGCTTATGTACCTGACAGACAGTCTGTGGTTTCAACTCTGTCCCATTTCTGTTACAAAAAAAAGAGACAGTCAACTTCAGGAGAATTATAAATGGGGTAGAAAGAAGGAAATCTTATTATCATGAGCAGAAATAACCTACATTCTGCAATATTTCCTTAAGGCAGGAAATCCTTTGTTTCTTTAAGAAAAGGATATAAAACGTGGACATTTATCTTGCAGTCATTGTCACTGCAATCAGTAAAGATTCATGCTACAAAAGCAAGTGTATTTTGATAACATTTCCTGGGAAACAGGGCTTCTTAGGCCCCCCAGTCCTGATTTTCCTACTTTGCAGAAGAGTTCTTAAAATTGGGAAAAAGGAAGAAGTGATATTTAAGGGAAAGAGGAAACACATGGCTTTTCTTGCCTAACATTTAGCACTTTTTTGGTTTTAATGCTTCCCCCCTATAGGAAGGTTTCTTCAAAGTCAGTGTTCTGTGTGGTGGGGGGCGGTGATTCACAAGTTTGCATTTGAGGATATGAGACTGCGGTGAATGAGGAAGGGAGTAGGTGGCATAAAATTGAAACTTGGTGTGAAAAATTCCATCGTCTATTGGCTGCCACGATTTCACTTGTATAATGAGTAGCCCTATTCCAGCTCACCCTGACCACACCCACTTGGAAAGTCCAGCAGGCGGCTCACAGTGTAAATGTCTACACACTAGAACAAAACGTACAATAGCTGTTGCTCAATTGCTAGTCAAATAACTTAGCACTGGGGAATTCCAGATGTTACTTAGGGAATTTTATACTGGTGCATCTCAATAAAGAACTGAAAGTAAGTACACGAAGAAGAAAAAAAAAGCCTTATCTTTGCTCTAGATTTTGCAAAGGGGAAATTTCAACAGAATGCAATAATTGCTACACTCCTGCCAAGACACAAGGCTTGGGTGATCTTTTGTTCATTTGTGTGACTACTTCGTTAGTGTTTTGGTTTTTGTTGTTGTTGTTATTGTTTTTTGGTACTGGGGATCAAACTTGGGACCTTGCTTCGCTAGTTTTTTAAGTGTGGCAGTTGAAGGAATATTGAGTGGATATGTATTTGAGGGCTTTTAAATATATTTTTTACAGTTTGATTATGATTAAGATTTGATAAAATTTCAAGTAGCTTGATTGCCTTACTATAAAATAGTGTAAGCAATCAGTTTAACTTTTTAAAAAATAAATATTATTTTGCATTTGATACAGGGGATCATGAAGTTAACTTTTTTTTCTATTAAACACTCCCCCTCCCATGTTTGTTATTATTTGGGGGTTGAAAAAAGGCCATATGAAATTGCGAGTCTTAGCCTCACCATTAGGTCCTTACCCATGTAAGAAAATCTACCCATCTTTTTCTCAAAATGCCAGCTCTAAACACTGAGTTATTTTAAAATTTTGGCATCTGGGTGCTTTTCAGCTTTTCAGAAAGACTTGATAGTTGTTCACAAGCAGGTTTACAGAATGCATTTTGGTGGGGCTGGTGGCAGCGTCAGCGGGCTATAGGTACAAACCAGGAGAGGAAAATACCGAGACCCCAAGCTAAAGTGGAATGGTCCAGTCATGTACCACTGAGTCATACCCAGACCATTTCTGTCTAGTAGGCTGAGCCAGGACTGCTTCCTGGTCTGCACACACTGCCCTGGGTGCTCTTACTTACAGCAATGGTGCTGGTGCCATAGACAGCAAACCAAGGACTGTTACAGAGGTAGACCGTTGGCTTTCACCACCCAGAGCCCTCATTTTACAGAGTTCAGCTGTCCATGACTTTACTCGGTTTCCCCCAACGTCATCTGAATCAGTTAGGAGCAGAGCTGCACTAAAACTGAGGACCTCTGGCTCCTCTGCTGGGTTGGTGCTGCTCATTAAAAAGAAAGATGTTTTCCTCACGGTGTCATTACACTGTAAAGTGTTATCAGTTGGTCCTTGATAAGAAACCAAGCCCTTTGGCCCCTATGATTGCAGTCAGGCCCGTCTTTTCTGCAGACCTTTGTAGGTCCTTGCATGCAGATGGCTTGACCTCGTTCCTTATCACTCCTTCTGTCCTTAGGTGATGGCAACTGCCTCATGCACGCTGCTTGTCAGTACATGTGGGGTGTCCAGGACACAGACCTGGTCCTGAGGAAAGCCCTCTTCAGCACACTCAAGGAGACCGACACACGCAACTTCAAATTCCGCTGGCAGCTCGAGTCTCTGAAGTCTCAGGAATTCGTGGAAACGGGGTTGTGCTATGATACTCGGGTACGTTCCATTCCTGTGGGAGCATCTGCTGACAGCTGCAAGTGGGGAAAGGGTGTTCTGAGCCATCTCTGGCTCTGGAGGAGCAGATGACTTACTGGGTCACATGCATTTGGCTAAGCAAAGCACTCTCTGTGGAAAACCCCGAAAGCCTCCCCTGGATGAATCCCAGGCTTTTCCTGCACCCAGAAGCTGTGAGCAGCGAATTCTCAGCTCTGGGGCGCTTCAGTAGCAGGATGCCTGCCTGTGGCTGTTCCCCGGGGTTTCTGTTGGTTTTTGCTTTGTCACGTGCTGCCCTGAGCAGCAGGCCTTTCCCTCAGCAGACTGGGTCACAAGTTCGGGGCTTTCGTGGACCCTCAGATGGGGGCCTTCATGGTTGTGTGTCATCAGGGATGTTTTGTTTTGTTTTTTTTCCTGGTACCGGGGATCAAACTCAGGACCTTGTGCTTACAAGGCAGGCGCAGTGCCACTGAGCTACATGCCCAGCCCCCTGTCAGGGATTGTTTCGAAAGCAGGTGTTGTCCCTAGCTTTGAGGTTGCTTTGTAGTGGGAAAAAGTAAAGGAAAAAGGGCCAAAACGGGGGAAAAGGGATGATCGTTTGAATGATGACCTCAAACGAGGGAAAAAAATAAGCTGAGTTACAGAAACACGGAATGCCAGAGTGGTGCTGGCAGGGCTTTGGAATACAGATGCCCTCACCCGCTTCCTGCCTCTCTCCGCTTAGAACTGGAACGACGAGTGGGAGAACCTCGTCGGCATGGCGTCCGCAGACTCCCGGGCAGCCCGCAGCGCGCTGCCCTACAGCTCCCTGGAAGAAATCCACATATTCGTCCTCTGCAACGTCCTCAGGAGGCCCATCATTGTCATCGCAGGTGAGCGGCCCTCCGGGTGCTGATTGGTGTTTCGGTTCTTAGGGAAAACTCTGGCTCCCCGAGTTACACGTGATGGTTCCGGGTGGCAGCTGATGAGAGTCACGTGGTGACCTTCCTTGTCTTTTTCTTTCCTCGAGCAGACAAAATGCTGAGAAGTTTGGAATCAGGTTCGAATTTCGCCCCTTTGAAAGTGGGTGGAATTTACCTGCCCCTCCACTGGCCCGCCCAGGACTGCTACAGATTCCCCATCGTCCTGGGCTATGACAGCCACCACTTCGTCCCTCTGGTGACGCTGAAGGACAGCGGGCCTGGTAAGAAAATGCCGCCGATTCACAGACCTAGCTCATGAGTGCCTGGGACCTCAAGGTTTACTCTTTTGCTCCTTTTGGAAATAGTCTTATTTAAGTATATTTTTTATTGAAATATATCAAGATGTCATTTGCTTAGTACAGGGTGAATGTCCTTTATCCCAGGTGCTTGGGACGAGACATGGTGCAGATTTCATTTGAGTTATTTTTTTCAGATTTTAAAAATATTTAAATTCCCTAATCCAAAATGCTCTATAATCTGCTCCCAAGTTTCGGTTTCGAAAGTTTGGATTCGAGTTACAGACCTGCAGTAGTGGCTGGGTCCCACATCTTTTTGAATATGAACAGGGAAGCACCTGCAGTGCGTTAATCACAGGCAGCAGAAATGTGCATACGCATCCTAGCTCGGGCCCTGTTAGGATGGGACAAGTGAAGGTGTAAGAGGGCTTCAGTGCAGTACCAGGGCCTGAGTGGGCCGAAGTCTGTCAGGTTTGCTCCCAGCCTCATGGCCTGATGGGACTGGCCTTGTACTCAGTGCTTATGGCCCGCAGTACATAATGTCCTTCTGTCTCATCCTCGAGCCTCCCTGGGAGACATGGGTAGAGCGAGCCTCATTTTCCTGCTGCGGCAGTTGCACCTCGAAGGAGTTAAATAAACTGTCTGCTGTCGCAGAGCTTGATAGTGACACTGTCAGGATTTGAACTCAGGCCCATCTGACTTTGGAGCATGGGAGTTTAACCAGTAAGACGCGCTGCCTGCTGGCTGGTTAATATTCTCTGAGCTTCTCGGAAGCAATGCATTCGTTAGAGCTCAGCGCACTTTGTTTTCCATGTGAATTAATTTAATTGTGACCAGATGATGCTTTTTTCCTCTTTGAATTATATGCTTTCTGCATTTTTGAAATGTGATCACTATATACACACGCATGGCTTTATAGTCAACCTCCCCTGGAGAGTAATATTTTATTTATATGCTATCTTTTCCCCCTCAGAAATCAGAGCTGTGCCCCTTGTTAACAGAGACCGAGGGAGATTCGAAGACCTAAAAATTCACTTTCTGACGGATCTTGAAAATGAGATGAAGGAAAAGCTCTTAAAGGAGTACTTAATGGTGATAGAAATTCCAGTCCAGGGCTGGGACCACGGCACCACTCATCTGATTAATGCTGCAAAGTAAGTGCTTGATTTTGCTGTCTTTTGTAACTTTCCTTACATGAGCCATAGCGGCAGCTTCCACTCCAGCGGTCCACAGCAGAGTTATCTGTTCCATTGTGATTTTCCAAGGTATCTAGAAGCCGAGAGTCAAAATTGTGGGTTTTAAAAAGACAAGTCTACATATGTGTCTAAATGTGTCTAAGCGTATTAATATGGTCTAGGGAGTATTAAAAGTAAGAGCTACTGAAGACTATTGGAAGCAAAAAGCCTTTTCCTCTTGGCTTCTTGGTAAGGACAGACACACACCAGGTTGCAGACTGTGTTTATGGGGCAGCCACATGGAGAACCAAAAGGACATCCACAGAGTCCCCATTGTGCTGTGTCCAAGCTCCAAACCCCGGCCTTATGTTAAGAGGTGCCTGCTTCTGAGAATTTAGAATGCTTAATTCTAAATTCTTGTTCTAGAATTTAGAACAGCGAGGGCACAGGAGAATTACTTTCTCAAAGCAGAGATTAGCCAGCTAGAGCCAGCAGTAAGCAGCATCTGTGGGCGTGTCTGCCTCTGCAGCCCAAGTGGCGGAGAGCTTTTAGTAGAGACATAAGTTTAAAATTAAGAACAGTGAAACGCAGAAAACAAAGTACCAAAGATGGTTGCACCATAAAATGGACCAGAACCACATGAATAACCTGAGGAATGTTTTACTAGAAATTTGATCTCTGAGAAGTTAGATGGTGAAAACAACTTTTTAAAAGAACAATCGATAAACAAGAGGAAGAGAGCTCTTTGCAAAGGACCCCTTGCTTGCTTTAATGTTTTTTTTTTTCTTTGGCGGGTTGGGGGTTAGTTTGTTATTTTTGTGATGCTAGGGACGGAACCTTGGATCTCTTGCATGCTGTGCAAGTAAATGCTCTACCACTGAGCTCCACCACCAGCCCCAAGGACCTTTTTTAACTTTAGAATTATCTGTGATTTTGTGTAGACCCAAGAATTGGTAATCAAGACTGTGATTTTAGAAATAATGAGGCTTAGAATAAATGACCTCATGCTTTACTGGAGGACGTGTTGGGAAATATCTTGAACCGTGTGCATTTCGGGGATTGCTGTGAATGCACATCCTGAAGACCTTTAGGTGCCAGTGCAGTGAAGCGTTGCGTGCCATTTTGTGTAGTCTCATCTTTTCCTGTTTGTGTCTTTAGGTTGGATGAAGCTAATCTACCCAAAGAAATAAATCTGGTAGATGACTACTTCGAACTTGTTCAGCATGAGTACAAGAAATGGCAGGAAAACAACGAGCAGGGGAGGAGAGGGGCGCATGCACAGAACCCTCTGGAGCCCGCCACGCCCCAGCTCTCCCTCATGGATGTAAAATGTGAAACACCCGGATGTCCGTTCTTCATGTCTGTGCACACCAAGCCTCTGTGCCACGAGTGCTCGGCACGGCGCCAAAAGAGCCCAAGCAAACTCCCAAAGCTGAACTCTAAGCCTGGCCCCGAGGGGCTCCCCGGCATGGCGCTTGGGGGTTCTCGGGGAGAGGCCTACAGGCCCTCACCCTGGTGTCCCGAGGAGCCGGCGGGTGGACCTCACTCAGCTCCGCCGACAGCCCCCAGCCTCTTCCTGTTCAGCGAGACCACGGCCATGAAGTGCAGGAGCCCTGGCTGCCCCTTCACGCTGAATGTTCAGCACAACGGGTTTTGTGAGCGATGCCACAATGCCCGGCAGTTGAATGCCAGCCAGACTGCAGATGCCACCAGACATTTAGATCCTGGTAAGTGCCAGGCCTGCCTCCAGGACGTCACTAGGACATTTAATGGGATCTGCAGTACTTGCTTCAAAAGGACTACGACAGAGTCCTCCTCCAGCCTCGGCTCCAGCGTCCCTTCTTCCTGTCACCAGAGGTCCAAGTCCGACCCCTCGCAGCTCATGCAGAGTCTCTCCCCGCATTCTTGTCACAGAGCCAGAAATGACGCCCCCTCTGGCTGCCTCTCTCAGGCCGCAAGGACTGCAGGGGACAGGACTGGGACGAGCAAGTGCAGGAAAGCTGGCTGCATGTATTTCGGGACTCCGGAAAACAAAGGCTTCTGCACTCTGTGTTTCATCGAATATAAGGAAAACAAACGTGAGTGCGGTGATGGAGTTCTTAGTGCATCAGCTCTCGTTCAGAAGGGGTTTCATCCCTGATCTTCAGGCAGAGGAGCCCATCTGAGTGGTTCAGTGAGTGCTCAGGCCCCACTGTGCTTTTCCACCAGCTCGCGCTTGGGGACCGTTGTGGTTCTGCCCGCTGCTCCTGGGTGCAGGAGGCAGTCTACGATGGCAGCAGCAGTTACTAGGTGCCAAACCCAGAATCGCCCAGTGGGTAGTTTGTTTTTATAAGGCCATCAGTTGTCTCTTATTAGATAAGGTTTAAACGTGACTTCTGCAACGTTGGTATATAATTGAGAAACTCACCTGGTGGCGAACACCTGTAATCCCAGCACTCAGGAGGCTGAGGCAGGAGGATTTCAGGGGTTCAGGGCAAGCCTGGGTTACATAGTGAGTTCAAGGCCAGCCTAAACTACATAGCAAGACCCTGTCTCAAAAAATACCAATAAATGAAAATAATAATAAAGTCGATCTGAAGAGTAGTAGCTGGCAGGAGGGACGTCTCCCTTCACATGACAGGAAAGCATCTGTGGCTTGGGCAATGTCTAACTCGAAAGAAAGGTGGGCAGTCAACATTTCTGCCATTGGTTTTGTTATCCCAGCCGATGAGCGTGTGGGCTCAGGGTGAGAGATGTGTACAGCTCAAGCTGTTTCAGTAGTCGTGTTGTTACCTTGCTGAATGTATAAGATCTGTCAGCGTCTCCATGTCTGTGGCGGCCCAGCTGTGGTACTGATCAGCATCCACTCTCTCGTAGATGTTGCTGCCCCGGGGAAAGCCGGCCCCACAGGCTCCCGGTTCCAGAACGCCGTTCCGTGCCTGGGCAGGGAATGCGGCACCCTGGGAAGTACCATGTTCGAAGGGTACTGTCAGAAGTGCTTCATCGAAGCTCAGAACCAGAGATTTCACGAGGCCAAGAGGACTGAAGAGCAACTGGTGAGCTGCTCAGGGAGCTTCCCCGTGTGTCCGGTCGTCCTCAGGTGGCTCTGCTCCCTGCCGGGCGGGTCTGCTGTGGGGACCTGGACAAGGGTCCGAGTTGTTTGGCTGCCCATGTTGGAAGCTCTGCTGTCTATTTGCACGGTCTAAGTGGTAAAACTTTGCCAAACATCCAGAAAGCCGGGCGTTGATCAGAAACATCCTTGGTTTCTAGTAGAAGCACAGACGTGTACAAATCAGATTTCTGTAATACTTTAGCATGAGCCAGGATGAGGAGAACTTCCACTTGATGGCAGGTCAGGGACACAGACACGACCGTATGTCGCCTGCTGTGTGCAGAGGGTTTGCAGTTAGGCCGGCTGGTGAGAGCGCCGATTGTTAACCGGAGGGAAGAGCGCCAGTGCTGTCTGCTGGCCTCTGGAGGTCTCCGCCCGGGCCAGGCAGACTTCTCTGGGTTTGGGAGGAAGCCTTTCCTGGGAGCCTCTTGTCCCCTCGCTGGGTAGAATCCACACTGTCCCACGAGGTCTCACCGCACTCTCTGTCCTCCCCACGCAGAGATCCAGCCAGCACAGAGACCTGCCGAGAGCCACCCAGGGCACCTCGCGGCCCAAGTGCTCCCGGGCCTCCTGCAAGAACCTCCTGGCCTGCCGCAGCGAGGAGCTGTGCATGGCGTGCCGGCACCTCAGCCAGCGCGAAGCCCCCCAAACAGCGCTGCCGGGCTCCGGCCTGCGATCACTTCGGCAACGCCAAGTGCAGCGGCTACTGTAACGAGTGCTTCCAGTTCAAGGAGATGTACGGCTAAGAGGAAGCAGGGCCCAGCGTGGTGCCAATACTCCCGCCCCCCGGCAGCTCCTACACAGCAGCCTGGAGGGGTCTGTGAGCACAGGAGGGAAGATAAGCTCTTCCTCAGGTCTGTGACACTGGGGTTGGGCCTAGGTGGCCTGAGAGCAGAGTTTCTGACTGGCGGTGCGCGAAGCCTGAGTCGGCCCAGAGCCGCTCTTCTCCTACCAAGCAGGCGGCCTGACGTCTGGGGACCCGGAAGCTGTGCGGGTCGGTGTGCCCTGCCCCCGCCAAGAGTGCCGCCCGCTCTGCTCGGAAAGTGGAAAGGACGCAGACAGGTGACTGGGGAGCCCCGGAGCCATCCTGACAGCCTTCCGCGGAATCTTCCAGGCACAGGGAATCTGCAGGAAGCTCGCAAGAACTCAGGAAAAATGGATGTGTTCAGAAAGCAACAGGAGCTAAAGTTTCCCCGCGGCCTGTCTCCCTACCGAGCGAGGTTCTGTGGAGAAGTAGGACTGTGCACAGACCGACCCGGAGGCTGCTGACACAGGACGTGTCCCCGGAGAAAGCCGACCAGCTGCTCTTTGCCATGTGCATTCTTTCACAGCAAAGCTTTTAGGGGGACGGTGTCTAACTTGGGGTTATTACTGTCCTCCTTCTAAAGAAGTCTTGAATTAGTGTGTATAAAAATGTGTACATAAATAATATACCCTTATATTATGTATGAGGGTTTTTTTTTTATTTTGAAATGCTGCCCTAGCAGCATTGGTATATAATTCACTTTATTTATTGTATTGCAAATTTCATTTATTTAAGTGAAGGTGTTTTCTTCTGCCTTGTCTTTGTGAGCTAACACTTGCTTAGGGAGCGTCCTTTTTGAGTCACTGCTGCTGTCGCCCTGGGAAAGAAGGGATGGCTTCAAGAGTGTGTTCAGCAGGGTCTCATGCAACAGCTGGGGAATCTCCAGAATAATAAGAAACTTTTCTGATCCTACCTCTTGGGAGAGAAGATAGGGAAGGGGCAAGGAAGGGTGGGGACAGGGAGGTGCAAAGGTAAACCTTTCGGGATGCTTTAGTTTGCTGTGCTAAGGGACCCTGTGTCCAGTGATGCCTCAGCCTTGGAACAAGCCCAGTAATGGTGAGCTGAGGACGTTTCTGTCTGTCTTCGGGCCGCTCTTTCTCTGTGTGCTTTGTGGTAGTGTCACGTTTGCCCTAGGTGAGGGGATAAAAGGGCGGACTTGGGTCTGAAATGAAGATCTGAGAATACCTGCAATCCGTAACTCTACATAGCCTTTCCCCAGATTATTTGAGCTGTCTTTTCTCCTCCACTTACTTTTCTCATTTCTTTCCAAAGATATTAAATAAACTCCAGTGTTTTCATTTAGTTCTTTCAAAAACTGTGGCTCTTGCAAAAATTGTGTCTGCCAATATTTTCATTCTCACTGTGAAGAAATGAAATTATTTATACTTATAGAACATATTTGAAATTTGCACATTTAGTTGTTTCTCCTAGAATGCTGCCTATCTTTGGGTTTCTTCAAGTTTTCTTAAATAAATGTAACTTCACAAAGAGTTAATATTAAAGAAATAAATTATTGAAGAACAGATGTTGATGTTTTCTATGGATGAACCCCGAAAGAAGATGAGCTACACATCTGCTGTGCACAAGGTGGGAGCTGGTACTGAGCCCCTGACACAGATTCCTGCAGGGCTAGGAAAGGCTGCCTGTGGCTGCGCAGATAAGACACCAAGTCCTTCTTCCCGGGGCTCCTGCCCTAAACTTTCATGAAGTGGGGGAAGAAAATGAGAGAAACCAGGGCGAGAGAAAGCCACAAAGAAGGAAGAGTGGCGTGAGATTCCCCGGACCAGAAGAGATGGCCTAAAAAAGCCAGGCGTGGTGGCGCACACCTGTAATCCCAGCACTCAGGAGGCTGAGGCAGAAGCATTGCTATAAGTTCGAGGCCAGCCTCATCAGAATAATGAGATCCAGTCTCAAAAATCAAAATAAATAGAAGAAATGGTCTGGCCGTTACAGCCACCAGAAATAGGAAATTATAAACTCACTAGTCAACAGAGATTTCTTTTTTTCTCGGTAGGAGGGATTGAAGTCAGGACCTTGTGCTTGGGAGGCAGGCACGGCACCACTGAGCTAAATCCCCGGCCCCATCAACATAGTTTTCTGCAGTTCCCAGACAAGTTAGAAATTCTCTCCACCAGCAAGCAAGCACACAACTAATTCTGCAGCAGAAATCAGCAGGTGCCCTCTAATTCACCGTGATATCATCTCCCTGGAGATGGCATCAGATGCCACAGGTCCGGTCTTAGTCCCCAGGGCTGGACACCCCCAAGTGCCCTTGATCGGTCCGTCCCAGTCCGCAGCTTGTTACCTGCGCTGACTGACTGGCTATGAGTCTTCTTTTCTATAACCGCTGCTTTAAGTTCAGATCATTTACTTGATTGCTTCGAGGCCTTGGGGAAACATTTCCTGGTTTATCCTAAAGGGTAGAGATGGAGAGATACACACGGTGTGGTGCAAGAGTGGGGCCCAGAGCTCCCACGCCCTTGTGGCCACCCCACCCTCCAGAAACTGCCCTGCACCCCACTCCCCGAAAGGGGTGTTTTTTGGGGACTTCATGTGGAGCCTTGACTGAAGCATGGGCAGCTTCGAGGAAATGTGACCCTACGGAAGGGAAGAGCTGACGCTCAGGGCCGGGTAGGAGGCCCTGCGAGGCCTGTTAGCCTGCTCCCGGCCTGGGGCAGGACCCCTTCTTTTTCTTTGGTACTGGGGATCGAACTTGGGACCTTTTGCTTGCAAGGCACCCGGTGGAGCCACTGAGCTAAATCCTGGCCCAAGGACTCCTTCAACAGGTGTTTTATACTGGCAATCACACAAGGTGGGTCAGAGAATTTCCTCATGGCCAGCTCCGAGACAGAAAGATGGGAACATTAGACTGTATTGTTAGGTTCTACGACCCAACTTAGGGAAGAGAAATTCTAGATCTTGTGGCCTGGTTTGGAGAGGGACTTAGAAGCCAAAAACCATGGACAAAAACCAACACACACACAGACACATGCACGCACACACACATGGTGTGTATGTATGTGACTATACATTTATATATATTTGGTTTTCGTCCATGGTATATATACATATACATAAATACTGTATATTTAGTTTTGTCCATAGTTTGCAGCTTCACTTGGAACATAAACATGATATATATACATGTGTGTGTGTGTGTGTGTGTGTGTGTGTGTCATAAACACAATAATCTATTCTTCGGCCCTTACCCCTTTATTCCTTCTATCCAGTACTGATGTATGCATAATGGATTGACTCAGGAGCACTGCACAGCTCCTAAAATCTATTTTATTAAGCTGTCCAGTGATCAGAATATGATATGAGGAACTCTCGTTTTGCCAGTTTGTTTCATTTACCATCCTTTCTTTTCTGTTTATTTATTTGCTGTATTTGAAAGCAAAGTGTCCTTGTACCCACAGACACCTCCATGTGCATCTCTAACTAACAAGAATGTGTCCTTTTCCATGGTTACCTTTATCCCCTGTAGCTAAATTACTCTTTAATACGGCCCAAGCCCCCAAGTAGGTACAGCTGTGCGACATTCGATGACAGGGATGTGTTCTGCAAGCCGTGCAGGGAGTTGGGTCTTCCATCACTAGCTGAGAGCTGACAGGGCCAGACAGTGTGACCTGGCTCACGACCCAGGATCTCAGGCAGGCTGTCCCCACCGAACATTGCAAGGCTGGATTCGGACTTCAGTATTCAAGACAAAATCCTGCTACCCAGGATTGTTGACTTTTCTTAAGGCTCTTTTATTCTCTGATCTTCCCTTCTGCTGTTCCATGCCATCCTTGCATGGTTTGTGCAGAAGAAGGTCCTCAGCAGCACTGAACTTGCTCTTCCAATCTTACTGGGCTCTGTTCCCTGATGGTGCCTGCGTCTGAGCTGGGCTCACTGGTCCAGAGGGCCACAGACTCACACAATGCCCTGCTCCTCTCTCCTCCATTTCTCTTCCCATTTTTCACACCCAGTATGAGAAAGCACATTTTTTTCTACCAGCGTGATGAACATAAGCATTTGAGCATAAGTCATCAGGATTTCTAAAATAGGATGTGACATATAATTAGCAAATCATCTGTGACTCAGAAGAGTGGCACAGGGCTGGTTCAGAGGGCACTGAGAGTGGCAGTGAGCCGAGCACCAGTGTGGAGCCAGTGGCTCTCTGAAGTGGGCCTGGGGCCCTAGAAAGTACATGTGCCCAGTCGGCTGCTATGTGCGCACCTGCGTGCCTGTGTTTAAGACCGAGTACCTGGAACTCACTGTATCCCCCGAGCTGACCTCCAACTTGGGACAGCTCTGCGGCCCCCTGCATGCTGGGATTATAAGCAGGCACCACAGCGCCGGGCTGCAATTCAGTCTGTTATCGATCTTTGCTTAGACCGGTTGTGCTTTTCCTCTAACTCTCCCTGATGGCTTATTCTTGCTCCCAGAGCCCAAAGCAGGGTGCAGTACAGAGAGAAAGAGGAGCCCGCTAAGCTTATTATTCTAAGAAGCTGATGCAGCAGTTTCCTCGTGTGTGTGTGTGTGTGTGTGTGCGCGCGCGCGCACGCGCGTGTGCTCTCTCTTGCGCCTGTGCACGTGTACAGCCCTGCCGAACTGACATAAATCACACTCTGCTACTACCTGACACGTGGGTTGACAAGGCTCTCCTCCATCACTATCAGGGTCACCTGTGGTCACCCCAGCAGTCAGAGTCTGGCTGAGAGGCTGGGTTCTGGGGCTCCTTCGCTGTGCTCTCTGAGGTAGGCAGGGTAACCCCCACCCCAGCTCTTACCTGGACACTTCAGCTTGGAAGACATCCTTTTGGTTCTCATTAAAAATTACCAGATGAAGAGTTTCGAGGGATTTTGAAACTTCAGTTGAAAAAACCATCTTTTTCTCAACTGCCTGAGTATGAGCAAAAACCTTTGCATACGTGGTAACTAGAAATGAAATGTAATGAATCAGGATTTTGGAGGCCCTGCTAGCAAGCATTTTCCATGGATATTAACATGAGACCACAATAAAATGGACTTAACAGTTGGAAATGGCTTTGTCGTAAAGTACTCAATGCTTTTAAGAAAAATTAAGAGGCATATTTACTAATTTTATTATTTCTCTTTGAAAACAAAAGGCTTATTTAGCATGAATAAAAATAACTATTTAAAAATATTGCTTTGTTTTTATCTCATTGTTTTATTTATTTTTTTCATGGCACAGGGGATTCAATCCGGGGCCTCTGTACTGAACTACCCTTTTTTAATTCTTTAATTTTTTGAGGGCAAGTCTGAGTCACTCAATTGCCTGGTCTGTCTCAAACCTGTCATCCTGCTGCCTCAGCCTCCCAGAATGAAGAGATTACGGAAGTGCACCACCATACCTGGCTTAACATTCTTCTATTTTGTGGCTTTCAGTATTTTATGTAATAATGCATCATAATGCTTTAAAATAATACATGTATTGTGAGTGAATGCTCAAAAATGATTCTAAAGGTGATGTGGGATCCAAAATATTTGCAATCCAGGTGCCAGCATGCTCCTCAGTGCTCTTAACAGTCTGAACCAGCTCAGGTATTCATTCTTGTCTCCTGCCACTGTGCAGATTTATACACTATGTTCCACGCACACATTCTACATGTAACACGGCTCACTATTCCTTTTGGTCTCAGGAATCCTGTCAGCTCCTGTGTGTGTGTGTGTGTGTGTGTGTGTGTGTGTGTGTGTGTGTGTGTGTGTGTGTTTCTATGTGTGTGTGTGTGTGTGTGTGTGTGTGTGTTTCTATCTGCTTATGTTTACCATTTCAGCAATTAAAGCTAAGGAAATGTAAAGCAGAGACCACCCCAGCCGCAGCCGCTGGCTCCCCGACACCGCGGCACCTGGGGAGAACTCTGCCTCGCCCTCCGGCGGCCCTCTCTCTGCCCTCCGGCAGCCCTCTCTCCTTGCTCTCATGCCGACTCCCTTCCCCAGAACACACAGTGTCCCTCTCAGATACCACAGTGAGAATGTGGGGGGTCATAAAGGAGACACTTGGGTTCTGTTCCAGCCCTGCTACCTCCTAGTCCCTCAGCAGCTAGCAGCCTACCTCCAGTCCCTGCATCATCTCAGATTTATCATCTGCAAAATCCCATCACAGGTTTTAAAAACTCAATTAGGGGATTTTCTCACCTTACCAGAAAAATAGATTTTATCAATTATCCAGCGGATGGTTCCCAACACAGACTCACCAGAGGCTTTTAGTTGGTACCAATACACATAGAGCCTCATCTTTAAAAATTTTGTTTGTTTTTAGACAAGACCTTTCTATGTAGTGCAGGATGGCCTCAAACAGGTGGTGATCCTCCTGCCTCAGCCTCCCAAAGTGCTGAAATTAAAGGTTCGTGTCTTCATGCCCA